GCTGTGCGATGAAACTGGGGTGAAGTCTTGAGAGTCTCTCTCTCTCGAAAAAGGGATTGAAGACAGCGGGAAATTCCAATAAAACACTGATTTAATGAACTTCTTGTGTGAATATTTAAGTGGGTTCATCGTGAAACTCAATCGAAGCGTCAGAAGATCAACAACAATCAGGAGATCTTAAATCTTCACAACACTTCTAAACGCCTCATTTGTCACTTATCACAATTTAATCTGGGTTTTTCTGCCTCAAGAAGTTAAACCTGTTCAAATTCTTAAACTTCAGATTGTAAGAACTAATCTGAAAGGCTTCAGAATTTGTTCTTAACACATTTCTGTATTTATGTTCTAGTTTTGTCTTCGAAAAATGCTTATAGAAAAATTCTGATCAAATGGTGAGGTTATGAATGCGGTTTAAACCTAAAAATGAGGAAATATGACGAATATCACAATGTTTCCACTAGAAATTGAGTTTTATTTGACACTTTAAAGCTCGTAGCGCAGTAATAATTAAGCAAAGAGACATTATTCTAAACTAAAATGATGTTTTTGAGGTTATAATTGATTTTTAAACTTTTACTAATCCAATATGAAGTTCTTTTGAACACAAATACTCAGCTCTGCTTAAAAACAAGAGAAATGTTTGGAGATTAAACAGAAATTTGATAATTTTAAAGGTCTAATCAATCACATAACTTAGTAAAACCATAAAATCGATTTTTCCAGGCCAAAAAATTAGAAAATGTTTCAATTTCATGCAAATATTCTTAAATAAATTTCTTAATTGGTTTGAAGATCAGCTTCAATATCCAATATTTAGCTCTGTCTGTCTTTCGGATTAGATAATCTGCCAAATACAATTTCCAGACAAGATTTCAGACTAATCTAAAATGGCGGTAAATCCCATTTGACGTCAGACAAAATCACCCCTGATTTTAATCGATCCCTGCAAAGATGAAATTACAGAGCATGAAAGTGGGAGGAAATTTGGTTGCAGAGTTTCCATGCTGTTTTTTCGCGACATATGGCAGGATTTAATACGGAAGCACCTTCATTTTTCTTTCAATCAAGCGACCCACGACTAATTCCAAGACTAATTCGTACAAAATATGTATTTTTCATCAAATGGAACACATAAGTTACAAAAGTTCTTATTCCTGATCTTCCTCCTCGTCGTCCTTATCATTGTACGCATTGGTTTTCACGGCGATGCAACTAATTTTGTCGTCACCGTGCTTAAAGTTGAGGAGAATTCTTTTGAACTTCGGGAGAAGCTTGAGATAGCGACGATATCTTCTCATATCAATAACGTTGTCCATACAGTTGCGCATCTGAGAGTGAAGGAATTGCTGTTTATTTGTCTGAAACTTCTCAAGCAAGTTTTCTTACCTTTCTGAATGGACACTCGAAATCGAGACCAAGAGCGTCGTGGAGCATTTTGACGAGTTCAAACTGAGGCCCTTTCCTCTCAGGCTTGCTGCAAATGTCCCACGGCGCCGATTCGTAGTTCTTCACTTTCACCAGCACCTCAGCTTCCTCGAATGAATCCGCACTGAGACATCCTCTGATCCTTGCGCTGTACTCATTATCCACGTACATCGAGAAGCCCTTATCGAATCTAATCACCGAATTGTCATCACAGTTCGCGAAGGTCACGAAGAGATTCTTGATCTTCTCTGCCTGAATTGCGTGGAAGATCGCAAAGAGTAGAAAGACAGTAAAGCAAGACGGCGTCATTTTTTCACTTGAAACTGACAATAAACAGCCTCAGAACGCGTTTTTATATAGCAAAAGTGTTGCTTTTTGATTGTGTTAAGCAATTTGTAGTTGGAAAAAAGAGAGTTTTGTGTCAATTTATTCACTCAGCTGCGGGTTTCGTAGACATTGTGAAAATTCTTTGATCATAAATTCTTGTCCGTATCCAACTGATGACATAGAGATGCTAATTTGGAGCACATGAGGGGGGATTTTGTGGGTCAGACGCTGCGTTTCAGGTTGACTGCAAGCTGGAGTGGGTGACAAATCAGAGAAAAGAAAATCGTATCAGCAATTTCACGCTCTCTTCCACCCCCTGAATATGCTTCTCTGGCGAAGGGTGGCACTTCTCGGAACCCCAATCAATACATATGATTAGATGCACGTGTCTCATGATCACTGCATTGTGACAAATCAATCGATAAGACGTACTTAAATAGTTGACTAAATATTTTGCATATGAGAACAAATTGGCCGATCCTGATAAGCCATCTCGTGTTGCGAACCCTTCCTTCGCAACCCCTCTTGATCATCCTCGAGGCAATCAGTTTCCCTCATTTGTGGCTTAACTCTCAAACCACTTCTTGTGCCGATCAATTTCTCTCTCTCTGATTATTCCTCGGCCATATGTTGGGCTTGGAAAAATACCCCGCAGGTTACGATATTTTCTCTCTGCTTCCCAATTCCCACTTGTATTCTGGGTCAAAGTTTTGAACTTGTATCACTTTCCGGGCATTGTAAGGCATTTCATGTGGGCACACAATTCCACCATCAATGCCTGATGAAATTGTGGCACTAACAAGTACACAGATGGTCCCAAAGATTTCCCTCTGTCTGAAAAACCCCTCGTGATTCACGACTCTTTTTTTTCCCTGCAATGACAGAGAGAGAGAGCGAAAAAACTGCTCTTGTTCTGGGCTGGAACATTAGAAGCACAGACACTTTGCCAAGCATTCACTCTGCTGAATTGACTCTGGAGAGGCACAAGTATGTGGCATATTTCATGAATATGTTTTCATAAATAGCATTCATGCACTTGGCAATATGTTCACTTGTACGGCATCATTTATTTTTCACCCTTAGACTGAGGGTTCCTCAGCGACAATGGCCGCGGCTCAAAATGGGCTTTTAAATACATTATGATAAATCTTTTGTGAGTTTTTGTCGCAAACAACCATTAAATGCAACTCGGGATGTGAACATGAAGTCCAGATGGAAAAAGAAATACATTGATATTCATTTGCAAATTAATCATGTGGATTAAGCGAAGGGACTTGATTTGAAAGAATTTCTCTTGTTTCCTTCTTGGATTTGTTGAAATTAGAGTTTCTGTTTAGTGTAATTCATTGTTTGCAAATTTTCAATCTCCACTGATTTCAAGGGGGAGATAATATGCTCTGAACACTTCCGGCATTTCAAATTTTTAGACTGTTTCAACAAAAAATCGCAAATTATACTAAATATCTTAAGGTTTCATGTGATATTTCTGTAAAAATCCACAATAAACCGCTTTTTAAGCGTCTTTTCCGATCATAACCTCAAAAATATAACTAAGAGATCTTAAGAGACTCAAATTGGAAGCTTTTTAGATGATAAAATCATCACTAAACTCAAAGATTGCTGATTTAGAGTTGAAATCGTGCTGAAAATAAACATTTTTCACACCCACAATTCTCTTTCTGAGGTTATGTTCGACTTCAACACGATTTGCAGTGTTTTTTGGCATCAGAAGCTCAGAAAATGCTCAATTCTGCCAATGACTGGCGATCTTAGCGACTTTAGCATAAGAATTGATGTGCTAGAATGCGAGTTATTCACTAAATCCTTCCATGATTTGTTACATAACCTAGAAAAGTATTGCTTCTTCGTATAATTCAAAAGAAATTCAAAGAATCGGGACGATTAGTTAGTAAAAGAAGCACGCAAGAAAGGAAGATTGTAAGTTTTGATCACTTTAAGCTTATTATGTACTTCTGACTGTATTATCTCCCCCTTGACTGATTTCAGAGATTCTCTGTGTGTATTTTCCACTGCGATGAACCTCCTAAAATCCCCTTTCAGCAGATGCATTCGAAAGTGTCGAGAACATCCTGAGGAAAAGACTCCCTATTCGCTCCACAACACAATATGCATCGTGTGAAATTAGAGATCTGCAGAAATGTGTTTTCCACCCCCAAAACATGCACCCACAGTCTTCACCTACACCGCGCTCTGGCCTTATTTACGTGCACACGATTTGCATTCATAATCGCCTGTCGTCTTGTATTGTCTCCCCAGCCCAGGACCAGGCGCTCCTAATCCTCCCAGCGCAGATCTTGCCAAGTTGTTGCAGGCTCTGGCAAGTTTCTCACAAATGATAATGCGCGCCCCACCCACGCAACATTCCTCACCCCCACACACACAATTGCCAAGGGTGAGAGAGTGTCTAGTGTGTGCGAAAATTTACGATGAGCTTTGGGAGCTTTGGAGCACATTTTGGCATTTTCAATTTCACGTTAACCATATTCCTGTGGTGAGATTTTCAATTTTAGATATGGCTGAGGAAAAAACGGAGGGTGATTTCATGGTGCTTTTTATCACCCTGCCATCCATTCTTCCTTCTTCGCAATACGTTTCAACACTTTCGGCTTCTTTTCCTGCCATATACACGAGTATCTAACACTCTCTTTTGACATGAAAATCTGTTTACCGAGACGTTCAACTTCTTCGGTATTGAATGAGTGGAATTTTCTTCTTAACATCGCATTCATTACACATGGTTCTCAGCTTTCTTGAGCTGAGTTTATCACTCTGGAATTTTCTATCTCACTTGTCTGAGACTTTCACTCGCTTTTCCACCATGTCCAGCTGTATATATTTTCTCTCCAGCGGCCACAGCATCACAGGTGGGTGGACAGCAAAGAGAGCATCCCCAATACGGAATATAAAATGCGACATGATATTTGCAATATTATTTGCGGGAAACAGATACTCCACTTCAAAACATGGCATCTCCTGTACAGTATATCGGAATATTATGCTTGGTGTTGCATATTTGTGCTGTCCCGCGAGCACATCGAATATGTGGCCCCACACCCACCCCCATATGGCTCTCTCCGGGCTGCGTGGTGGCCTCTGCGACGGTTGCCTCTGTCTCTCTTGCTCGTTTCTATACCAACAACATGTTCTTCATGTAGCCAGCCAGACGCTTTTCCCGCCTCCCGCGAGTTTTCCACCCTTGCTCGAATGGCAAGCTCCACCCACCGGCCGTATGCTCTCGGATGTCTCTGGGTAAGGAAAAATGGGAAAATGCGCGCCGAGGGTTGTTCTCTCTGGAGGGGTGGACGCGAGAATATGCCAGTGGCAACTGGAAGCAGACGGGATTCAGGAGCACCCTCTCTCTCTCTGTGAGGGAAGAAGATGCTGTGCCACAGACAGTATGTGATTGTTAGCAGTTGCTGGCGGACTCTCTACGCGCATTCACTTCCTGGACGCTCTACCGTGTGCACGCGTGATCAGTGAAACAATGACCATGGACATTGCCAATCAAGTGAAGAGTACAGTGATGAGTGAGGAGCACGTCACCAAGGCGCCCAGCAAGCGCTCCTTCGACGTGGCCTTCCTCATGCTGCCGGACGAGAAGCTGAAGCAGAAGCAGGACAAGCAGGCCAAGCTGGATGAATATCCCACGCACCAGATCTCCGTGAAGAACGACCTCTTGCTGCGCCATCCGCCGCCGGAGGCCTTCGATCAGCGCCGGGAGGAGACAGAGGAGATAGACATCGTCTCCAATGGCGTGAACAACAACAATCACAGTCCTCCGGATCACATGAGGCACTTCAGGTATCACTCGCTGCCGATGGGCAGACTTCCGCGCATCTACGATGATCCAACCATCCTGCCGACGCCGGAGGACGCCCACAGGAGCGCATTCACGAAGGTGCCCCACTTGAGGGACTCCCCGAATCCGCCGCTCTCGCCAGATCAGCTCAGCTGTCCGTCAATCAGCCCGCCAGTGTCCGTGAGTCCGCCTCGGCCGTATCCGCCGGCGGCCTTTCGACCGACGGACTACGCCTTCACATCTCCCACTCACATGTCCTCACCCGCCAGCCCCACGAAGATCAAGCAGCAGTTCATGTATCGTCCTGGGCAGGAGCTTCCACCCCAGTACCTCCCTTCTGCCTCGTTTCCCTTCAACGCCGCGCCGCATCCCTTCATACAGCAGCAATCGGAGATCGCGGGCATTGTCCGCAATCCGGCAGCCGCCGCCATCCTGTCCACACTCATCCCGCCCACGCTGGCCTCCACATTCAGCCTCACGGCCCAGAATGTGTGCGCCAAGTGCAACATCAGCTTCCGGATGACCAGCGACTTGGTGTATCACATGCGCTCGCATCACAAGAACGACATGACCGGTGATCCCATGAGGCGCAAGCGGGAGGAGAAGCTGAAGTGTCCAGTGTGCAATGAGAGCTTTAGGGAGAGACACCACCTCACCAGGCACATGACGGCTCATCAGGACAAGGAGAGCGACGACGCGGAGGCGCCAAATGCTGTCCAGGCGACGCCCGGAAGCAGCTTTGAGCTGCACCAAGTCACTGCCCACCAGGCGAGGAGGCAGCATCACAAGACCCACTGAAAGTGGTGGCTCTAAATTCAACTGGCCTAAGTCCGGGCGGGTGAGCGAGTTGGATTTAGCCGAGGCTGAGCTATGTGGTGATAAAACCTTCTGAGTTTTCCGTGTAAAAAATCAGCTCATCTTCTCAAACAGGAGAAAAATTATACCAAAAAAAGTGGAAATGTTATGTGAAATCTGTATAATTCGCAGTTTAATTACCACAGAAATTCAAGAGAAAGTATTAATTAAGATATTAAAATTGTGATGTTAGGTAGATACTGAGTTTTCTCTCTAGATTGTAGATTTCCCCGCTGAGATAGTAAAGTATTAGCCAGGAAAAAAGGAAATTGCAGAGCCAGAAAAGTAGTTTTGCTGTGTATAAAGAAAGCAATAGAGCCAGGATGTATATATAAAGTTATGATAAATGCAGCATTAATGGTAAACCATAGAAATTTCGGAATTCATCCGCTAAACATTTTATGTGCAATGTTTTCCCATGAAATACAAAACAAAATGTAAACGTGAAATGGCTAATAAATTACTGAATGTCGCCAATTGTGTTCTCACATGGGGCGATATTAACCCCTTTTTCCCGGGGGAGAGGGTGTTAATGTGGTGTCATTTATATTGGCCACCCGTCGAGATAAGGCTTTTGGGGATGACCCGGTGAATAAACATGGAAATCAAGCTCTCTAAACTGTCGGAGATGGAGAGAATCATCCCCTGAATATTTATGCCGCCTCCCCTCCTGTCCACGGATATCGGCAGGGTTGAAGTCTCCTCGACGAGGGTGATTATGGGATCTGATTGTTTGCACTGTGGTGAATTTATTTACCATTCCTCAAGTGGATCCGGCTTAAATCCACCCGCATTTTGCAAAAAGGAGTCCTTCAAGGGTGTGATGAATGCGAAGAAATTTGTCCCTGTGAACTTTAATTGTTTTTTTATCTGCTAATGAGCGAACTTAATAGAACAATGGATGCGTAATTTTCGCAACAGTCAATATAATTCTTGAGAATTGAGATGTTCCTTCCGTCCCAAGTTGATTTATGACCTACGATTTTCGTGGCGGGGTCACAATTACTTGATAAAGTGCCAATGAGATTCCCATGAGAACTCACATGAGTTTGACTTTTCAGGAGTTGGCGTATCGAATTTAACTGAGCACAGCGAATTTCCATGGCTGGCGAATGATGAAGTGGAACAAATCACACTTTGCAGAGTGTCAATTTCCACAATGGATTTCCATACGACTGCCGAGTGAGCTCTTGAGCGTGGTTGGAGATAAGTGAGATGTCAATGGATTTATCGTGTGGAAGAGATGGGGGTTGGGAATTTGAGGGTTTTTGGGCGGAAATCATTTGTTTGCTGAGCTTTTTCATCTGTGAAAACACTCAAGCAAGGCCGCGAAGGATTTCTGCTCTTCCTTGCAGTTTCTCCAGGTCGAGCCAGTGTCATAAATTGTGCCGATGTCATAAATTAGCCGCCTTGTCTCACACACACACACACACAAGAGATGTGGAATTTTTGCTTGGCGAGGCAAATTCCTCGCGCGACCATCGAACGGCTCTTCCGCTATTTTATCCCGCAGCCACGGCTCTTTCGGAGAAAGAGAGCGTGAGCTTTTGTGGTTTTGCCCCACAATTCAGGAAGACTCTCACCGGGTGCGGAATCGCATATAAAATCAGCAGCGCCCGGGTTTTCTGCCACTTCCTCTTGTGGACTTTCTCTCATTCCCACTCCAACCCTCAGCCAGGGAAACACTGGCTGCGACTCCGGAAGCACTTAATCCCAACTGCGGACTGTTGGCTCCACGGCGGAGCTGCTCTCTTGTTAATAAATTTAATTTTATTGTGCCTCTAATTTTCCGGAATCATTTGATTTACAGCGCAGCTTCCCGTTAAAATATGCAAAACGCATATTGTTGCTACATTTGGCTTTCGCCCCTGCTTTTCTCCACATGTGAAAATCAATTGTTATTCACACAGGGCATTAGAATTATTCCCGCATTGCAAACATTATTTGCAACATTTTTTCACAACTCCTTTTTATATTACATCGGGCATGAGAAGGGGTGGAAAAATTGTCCAGCTAGAGTGACCAAACAGTCCGGAAAATCTGTGGCATCGAAGAAACATTCTGGCGGCCAGAATAAACTTGCATAAATATCGCATTTAAAATATAAATTTCAAGATGTTTCTCCGCGTCGAGAACAAATCATAAATGCAAATTTTGCTGACTCCATTCTCTGGCAAGTGAATTTTTGGGGACACTCGCCGCTTTTTTTTCGTCCTCGCTCTTGGCGTTCCTGCGCGCCATGAGAAAATATCACATTTATCACAATTTGAATAACAATTTCGTTGGAAAATTCACCATATGCGGAGACAGTCGGGGAATGCTGCCGCCATGGCATTTATCATTGTAATTAATTTCCCTCTCTGACTCATTAAAGAGTTGTTACACCAGAGAACTTATCATTTATCCATGATTAAGGAGTGGAAAAAGTTAAAGAGAACAAAGAGAATTCACTCTATATTTGACTATCATTTTATCAATACTTCTTTATTTTATTAAAAAAAATTCCTTTAATTAAAGTTATGTATTCTCACTTCTTGCTGAGCGCGTATATAATTTTCCTACCATTGTTTTGCTCTGCATTTCAGCTCTAAATTGCAATAAAATGCCCCAAAAACATGTCTTGTGGAAGCAATTAAACACTAAGAGGAAAATGTCGTGACAAAAAGTCACTTAACAGTGAAATCTTGCCACTGTGAATTCACTGATGACACTGTTTTCCCATGAGTGAACACATCCAAGAAGTTGGCAGGAAGTATTAAAGGGAAAATGTATTCCAGTGAAGCATTCTTACCACAGTCTCTCAATTTTCCCTCTTCATCATTGGGAAATATTTCTGTGGCCCCACAAAAGTTCCATGGAAAACCACAGAGAGCAGTATTGTCCAGAGAATTTTTGGCATTGAAGAAAAACCTCCATTCAATGGCAGAACCATATTCAAATCGACACCACAGAAAACCACCCTCGGGATCGCTTCCAAAAATTCTCGATGAATCTGACATGGAAGTGCGATTTATGGTCGCCTCAATAAATTTTCATATCGAACTCCAGCACATTTCCATGCATTCGCGAGTGTGTTTTGGGGGGGGGGGGGAATTGGGGAGGGATGCATATTTTTGCCAGCTGTCAGGAGCGATATTTGGCGGACGTGGTAAATAAACAGGAAGTGGGGAATTGTCTCAAATGCACAGCCGAAGATTCCGGAGGCTGGGCGAGTGTGGGAAGATGCTGGCGCTTTGTGTAGACTTTAGAGCCCTCGCCGAGGCATATGCGACAGCTCAGGGCGCCAATTCATCATCTCACTTGCCGCTCTTTGATATAGCAAAACACCCACCCACCCCCTGAGAATATGTAATCGAGCTAAGTGGCCATACTTCATACGACATCGTGTCACACATCAGAGGGTGGCAAATTTCACTCGGGGGTCGCTCTGCCTTTTAATAAATACATCCAACTCACTCTTCACTTTGGCAATATTGTCGCGCATCGCGTGGAAAAAAACGTCACTCTCTCACCAATTTCTCTCCGCGATTCCGTTCTGGAAAGGAGGGTTCGAACTGCTGATGGATTGAGCCCCGGAGAGTAATTCTGAGGGCATGTTCATTTGCGGTCTACTTAGAAAATTGGTCCTCAAGCACTCTTACATGTATAAAGAAAGATTCTTTCTAGGAATCTAATTAAAAGACTTAATAAGAGAAAAATTCATGGATTTCAAATAAAATTTCTAAACTAAGAATATCTGTATTTTTGGAGCAATTCTCAGTCACACAAGAAATGTAAATTGTGCAAAAACATCGAAGATTTGTTAGAAAACAACGCATTCTCTTACAAAGTATAGGAAATCTTTTAAGTTAAGATATATGTATGCTTCAAATAACCATTAAATCAAAGTTTCTTACAAAATGTTCTGGGAATTCGTTTTTTCCTCCGCACTTTGTTTTGCGAATCTTCGATGAAAAACGATAGATAAATCTTCAATATTTCCGGATGTTTTCGTCAAAACACTTTTCCGACAAAGAAGCGCAACTTCTTGGCTCCAACAGGCCATCGACAGAGGCCCTAAAAGTTCTCTCATGCAGGAAAAATATGTGCTGTCTCGTGAGCAACCCTACGCCAGCCCATTTCCCACCCCCGCGCGCGCGGCCGCCGCGGCAAATATGTAAGTTTGAAACCCGAGGAATATCTCTGGCGAATTACTAATGTATTCAAATTTTACCATTTGATTATGCAAATGTCTCTAAGAATACCCAAAGAACCATAACGCAGATTGAAATAATATTGACCCTATTTCATATCCGAGAAAAAGAATTCTCTATGGCCATATCTGCCATCTCTGCGCGCCCCTCGCGCGAAAATCTCTCCTTGATGGCCATCATTCCACCCTGTCGCAACAAAATATCACTTTTTGCCCACCCTCTGGCCTCGCACGCTGCAAATTTATGACCTTATTGCTCGATTTGGAAAGCTGTTTAGGAAGTTCTCGATGTGTGTGGTATGCAAATAAAAAGCGAAAATAACTTTTTATGACTCCATGGCGGAACACAAGCTTCTGCCGCATCTTGTGCCAGATTGTGGAGACAAGATAGACACATGAGAACGAAGATTGTTTGCCATGGTGGCAAGTCCCCAACTCCGTTCGCCTCGTTTCGCCAAGAAAGACACTTTTCGAGATGTTTTCCTTGACTGGGAAATTCTCTTGCTTCTCTTATCGCAACTTGACGGGAATTTCCTGACTGAAAATTATACTCATTTTGCATTCAAGCGCACAAACCAAAATTCACGCTGGACTTTTCACTCTGATCGATGTGTGACCTGAAAAAATACAGACCTTCAGTGGCTCCGGAAATGTTCGTGGAAAAGTTATTTATTTGCTCTCCCGGCCAAAAAAAGGGAAAAACTTGTTTTCATAAGCGTTCCATCGAGCGGATGACCTGTGATTTACTTTTTCCCGCAGAGCGCGCGACTGGGAGAAAAAGGGCCCAAACGG